TGACTCAGCATTATTTACATCATGATTTTTTTTTTCCATCAGAAATCAAAGTAGAACACCTTCTATAAACTATTTGTACAGAAATAAGAACAATTATGATTATGAGATGCTTTCCCTGCCTAGTTTTTCTCCTTCTTGTCCCATATTCTTTACTACCTTAAGTATTGTGTTTTGGGGTTTTATTCAATAGTTCTTAATTATTTTCTGTGTTCACATATAGTATATGGAAATTCCTATGTGTGCCAATTCCCTGAAGGACTCAGAGCAAGAACAGCATCCAAAATTGCCTTTTGATATGGGAGAGGAAGGCACAGGCCTTGATCGTTATCATGGGTTGGGCTAAATTTTAAGCAATTGCCTATATTTGTCCTTTTCTTCTCCCTGAGATGACTGGTCTATTTGCTAAAAAGGAATTTTTATGTTCAAGAAGAGGTTCAACTTTTTATGCTCATTTGGAGGGAAGAAATCTCACCATTGAGCACACACGGATACCCTGCACATGTACGTTCATGTACATACACAGATGCCAAACATTTGCCTTGTAAAAATATAAGAAGTCAACAGACTTTTGTTGCCTAAATATCCATTTTTGTTCAAGAACTCCTTTGATGTCATATTTAAAGACACCCTTATTTCAGTATTATTGTGACATTGTAAATTACTGCCAGAATCTTGCTCATTTTGGGTGTAAACTAGAAGCCAAATCCAAAAGGAAAAGGGAGGAACATCTGCAGTTGCAGCTGGCTAACCTCTTCAGTGTTCCTCATCTCCCAGTGCCCCTTCCTGGTCCCAAGCAGGGATGGCACCTGAAACCACTGTCTCATTGGCCTCCCACAGGTGTAACTCTACGCTTCGTCTAGCCTGACCAAGGTGGGGAAAACAAGGCAAAACAAGATGGAACTTTTACATACAAGCTTTTAATAAGAAACTTAGGGAAAGGAAAACACAGAAAAGCATGGAAATGGATGAGTCCACTGATGAATGGGAAATATCTCATCTTTTTACTCTTAACAAAGGGGCTGGGCAGGCAGAGCTCACATGACTGACAGTCCTGGTTTCTTTACTGGCCATACTTCATTGTCTTCGAAAAATGCTGACTGGGACATACCTCCAGCGCTTTTTCCAATCTTTGAGCTTTTCTTGACCTTCTTTATTTTCCTTTTCTGCCCATAGGTACCTAACTTAGTAGGAAAAATGGGAATCACAGAGAGAGGCAAGCACCTCCCCAGAAAGATCCTCTTTCTTTTCCAGTGTAGACCTCAGAGCCATCCTTTCTTAATCTTTAAAGTGTGTTTTTTTGAGAGAAATCTAGAAAATCCTTTATTTAAAGAAAATAATTCACCCTCCAGAAACTACCATTCTTAGTATTTTAAAATACTTATTTCTAACATAGTCATTACTTTCCAGGTCAATAAATATTATTCAAATATGCTATTTAAATAACTTTTCATTCCATTATGATGTTTCATAACTTAATGGATCACTGTCAGACATTAATATTATTTCTAAAATTTTACCATTAGATGACATGATGAATGTCCTTGCATAGAAGTCTTTGCACTTTTGGAGGCATACTATCTAGGTTACTCCAGAAAGGCTATGCCAATTCCATTTCCACTAGTAAGTACAAGATAGCTTTATACTGCCACATCTTTAGCAGAACTTACAATTTTTAACCATATATTTTTCAATTTGATAGGTAAAGAATGTGTATCCTCCTGTTGAGGGGGAATGTTTAAAACAAAATTCTATTGACTGATTGTTTACTTTATGAATTTCTTATTTTTGTCCAGTGTATTGTTCAACCCTTACAATACGGTTCACTTCTTTAATAGCCTTTTTTCTTCCTTCTTTCCTCTTATCCTTCTTTCCTTTTATCCTTCCTTCCTGCTTTCATTCCTGCCTTTCTCTCTTTTTCTTTCTTTAAAGTAAACAAATTTTACTAGAAATACTTATAAAAACAACATTAAAGAAATAGTGCTTCCAAGATGAAAAGATTTTCTGTTGACCTTGATTTACAATTTGGAGTGGGTATATAGTGCTTGTTCCTCTTAAGAAGCAAAATATTTCCACTTTAAGGTGTAAAAGAAGGAGGTTGAAATTTTAAAATGAGTTATTTTTTCTTTTTTTTTTTTTAAAGATTTATTTATTTATTTATTTGACAGACAGAGATCACAAGTAGGCAGAGAGGCAGGCAGAGAGAGAGGGGGAAGCAGGCTCTCCGCTGAGCAGAGAGCCCCATGTGGGGCTCGATCCCAGGACCCTGGGATCATGACCTGAGCCGAAGGCAGAGGCTTTAACCCACTGAGCCATCCAGGCACCCCGAGTTATTTTTTTCTTTTAAAACCCTTGGTTCCCTGGGGCACCTGGGTGGCTCAGTCGATTAAGCATTTGCCTTCAGCTTGGGTCATGGTCCCAGGGTCCGGGGATCCAGCCCTGCATCAGGCTCCCTGCTCAGTGGGGAGTCTGCTTCTCCCTCTCCCTCTGCCCCTCCTCCCATTCATGCTCGCTCTCACTCACTCTCTCTTAAGTAGATAAATAAAATCTTTAAAAAAAAAATATTTCATTTCCTGTTCCCTGATAGTAGATCTAATAGTTTTTATAATAGATTTATTTTTCCCTTTTTCTGCCTGCTTTGATTTATGCTGAATTAATACAGTATGTCGATTCAGTAGGGCCTGCATTAATGAATAGGATACAAGCAATGACATTCATACTCCAAAGCATTATATAGAAGACACAGAAACACAGTCTAGTCTGCAAATTTCTTTTTTGATGCACCACCCACCATAGGCTACTGTTTCAAAAATCACCTATTTTATTAGTAAGGACATTTGGACAAATTACTTATACTTCCCAACCCTTACATTTCTCAAACACAAAATGAGGATCCTTGTTGTGGGCTTGGGGTTTTCTTGTGTTTTTCCCTAACTTTTTAATAGATCTGTAGGCTCACTTGCACTTGTAGGAAATAATGCAGAGTGATCTGTATACCTTGGACTCAGTGTCTCCGAATGGCAACACGTGGAATAACTAGCACACTCTCACAACCAGGGAATTGTCATTGGTCCAGTGCACTGACCTCAGATTGCACCAGGTCTATAGGTGCGCCTGTGTGTGTGTGTGTGTGTGTGTGTATACACACTTTGTTCTCTGCAGTCTGGCAGTTTCCTCACTGCCTGGCACCTACCTGTCCCATGGTAGGTCCTAGACAACTGTTCAGTAACAAGTCTTGTCTAGCCAGTCTTTCCTCCATGGTAGGTCCTAGACAACTGTTCAGTAACAATTCTTGTCTAGCCAGTCTTTCCTCTTTCTTTTTTTGAAGGAAGAACATCTTGGATGGTTCATTGTAGTTAAAATGATGGTGCCAAACTCACACTTAATCTCTTTTTTACTCCCAGGCCTTTGCAGGGAGTAGCTCTGAGCTTAGCAACCAAGCGAGGGATTGACCCAAACCTTAATCACTGGGCTCATTCCATTACACTTCTCTCCTGAGCTTGTCAGAATGTAGGGATCATCTGGGGCAGCGCTTCTTGCACTTCTGTGTATATACAGATACCTTGGGGAGTTTGTTAAATTACAGGTCTTGATTTAGCAGCTTGGGAGCGGAGGCTGGTATTCTGCATTTCTAACAAGTTTTAGGTGATGCTGATGGTGCTGGTCCACTGACAATAACTTATGTAGCAAGAATCTTAGAAACTTGCTGAAAATTCAGATTTCCAGGGCTTTTTTTCCTCAAGATTCTCATGCAGGAAGACTAGAGTGGAGTCTGGGAATTTGTATTTTTATCTAATACCCTGCCCAGTTCTTAGTATAAATTACTTTTGGCAAATCCTGAATATCTTTTATACCATCTCCATGCAGTTTCTCAATTCTTCTGGTTGCTTTTCAGTGTACAGATACGGTTTACCTTAATATTATGATTTGAAGATTTGGTGCAATCAGGTTTTTTTCTGTTATTTTATTTTCTTGGCTTGGTTTTTGTCTTTTGAAGGCCAAAAATCCAGAAGGAAAATCAGACTCTTTTACTGAAAGTTTAGTTCAACTTTTAGTTCAAACATAAGAGCTTTAAGGTATTAAAATATTTTCAGTATCATTCCATGTGACACACAAAGATTTTATCAGGGCTTTAAAAAGTCTTCCTAAAGCTGTCTATAACAGCTCTTTTCCTGATCTAAATAAATAACACATGGGACTTGCAACCCAAAATTTCTTATCATCTCCGAATTTACTCTTTCCAGGTCCAGATAAAAAATAGTGTTTAATCCCCCAAAGAGATAGACAGTTATGTGAGCTGGTAGTATTGATAAAAGAGAATCATGGCCAGACAGGAATGGCTGGATTCAACCTTAAAAGTTGAAGCTGTGTAAATCATCAAATAACATGGGAATTGGAAAACATCATTATAAGCAACTTGTGTGAACCCCTGATGTTTTAAATTAGCCATGAAATGTGACTTGCTTTATAATATTTTGGAGCTTCTAGAGATCTCAGCTTTTAAATCGAAATTTTCCTATTTGGCAGCAACACAGCAGGCTCGCAAAATAATTTACAACCATTTACTTTGTTAGTTATCCCTTTTAAACAACCCTCAAGGGGAGGAAAACATTATTAATCCCCATTTTATGGATGAGGGGATTGAGGTATTAAGATGACTCAGAGCTTTGATTTAGTGCACACTTGGCGTTTCTTTGTCTCATTCCAAGGCCCTCTTATCTTTACTTAGGTCAGCATGCCTGCTCTTATTATTTTGGCTTATCTTGATGAGGAACATGGACTCAATTTTCAAGTTAACTTATGCCACTTAGAAAAATTGGGGCAAATTGAGCAGTATTCCTTTCTTACACTGATGGACCAAGTTCAGTTTTGCAAGGCTATTTTTTTTTTTTTAATTGATGCTATTTGTAACTTGTACATCTTCATTGAGGAGTTCATACCGCAGGAATACCCTTTTAGAGGAGCTGACTTAAGTCATTTTCAATAATCAAGTAAAGGAGAAAAGACATTGTAATTCTTTTTTTTTTCCTCACTCATTTTGTTCCAATTTCCAAGGAATGTGTATGTGGGAGTCATCATTGATCAGGAGATATGGTAGTTCTGAGTTGAAGTATGTATCTGTACATTGTAAGTGATGCTGGAAAATTTCCTTAACATTTTGTTCCTTAGCAAAATACACACTTGACCTTGGTGTTGCATACAGTTCTTTGAAAAAATCTTTGATGTAACCTTGTGTATTCTGCAAAGCACATCTTAGAAGATGAGGTCGCTGATGCTTACTCAGAAAGCTGAAGAGATTCTCTAGTGCCAAGGCAGGAATGGAGCCGCTTCCATTCCCGTCCTGTGGCAAAGGAAGTCATTGAAAATAACACAGTGGTCATCAACCCTCCTCCTGGACCGAATACATATTTTACTGACATCGTTTACATATTGTTTCTCAAAGCACAGTACCCGTCAGAATCACCTCAAATTCCTGGTTAAAAGAAAGATAACATTAGCTTATCTGAAAGAGGTTTGGAGGAGGCAGTCTTGGAATCTGCACATTAACAAGGTTTTCAGGTGATGGGCATGCTTACTAGAATCTGAGATCCACCCCATGGGGTAAGCGGTTTGGTTTGCCTTTGTTGTAGAAGCCATTCTCTTGCTTAGGGAAATTGTTTGCAATGTATGGGTAACTGGCATTGCTTTGTTTCTCCACAGAGTGAATTTGTTCTCTCTGTAAGTTTCAGTTACTTTCTCACTAAAATAGCTTTACATCTGGCCGATCTATCCAGGTTAGCAAGTTGCCTGGATGTTCCTGAAACCTCTCACCGAACATCTTGACCCACACAGGTGGACTCCTTTAAAGGAGACTGCAGATCAGGTTAAACAGCAAGGGCTCTCCTTAGATTTATTCCTCCTGCTGGACTTGGAGGCAGTGGGCAATGGTGACAGAACCACCTGTGCTTGCTACAGAGCCTGCAGCAATTTCTCTTGGCTAGGCAATCTGCTTTAACTGTCTACACCTTGATAACCCTTTTCTCCCCCAAGTGCTGAATTTGCTATCTCCTTTAAACTGCATAAACATTGTAACGAACATAAAGCTCAGCCATGCAAGAACCCTCAGCTAATGGTGGCATGAAATGTAAAAGGGCACTCTGCGGTCTCTGCTGCTTCCTTACATTCTGCCCTATGTAGTCCTAGTCCATGAGTTTCAAGGCGATCATGTTCCAGTTACCTGGAGTGGAACACTAGGTGAGAAAACTTGGTAAGGTATAATGTATAAAGAGAAATAAAATGCAACATCATTACCATCGTCCTCACGAAAAGCGATGTCAAATCAAGTTCTCTTGTTTAGGTTTGTTTAAAGGGGCAAAAGCAAGGCATTTTTTTCAGGAGAAGAAAACCTAAAATACCGGATTCCACGGTTCTGAAATAGTGCATGCTCATATAATATTCCCAGAGCCTTCATTTTCTAAAATCTCTTTATACAGAAAGCTATTTCTGCCATCTCTAGTTTCATTGTTGTGTGCATATCCTTGACCATTAAGCCAAACCGCAGACATGGACTAGGGTAAGGCAGGGGCCAGCAGTATCAGAAGCACCCAGGGTTTTTGCTGAACCTAAAGGGAGCTTTAGACCTTGCTGCATAGAAGGGAGGAAGGAAGAGGAAACTGGTGTGACTGGTCAAGCTTCTCAATCTTCTTCAGTTTCCCTTCCATAAAATCAAAGGGGATTGTATCAGATTATCTTTAGTGTAGTTACCAGGTCTAAAGCTAAGCCTCCATGAGACCTTTTAGGAGTGGGAAGGGAAAGGAAGAGAAATATAAACTAGGAGAGATAAATGGAGGAGGAATGAGAGGAGGGAGGAGAGGAAATAAGCAAATGTGTGGCTGAGAGAGCATCTCACCAATTACCTTGGCTGTGATTCCGTGATCCTGAGCAAAGGAGTACCTAATGTGGTATTTGGAGGAATTAAATAAATAAGTAAGTAACTAAATAAATCACAAGAATCATAACTGGTTTCCTCACAGTCAAAAGTGATTTAATATCTACTTGGCCCTCGGTTAGTTTCATGAATAATTCATGTATCCCTTTAGGTACTACCTGTGGTTGATCGAGTTATGTGGCATCGTTGATATGGGCAGTGTCATGCTTGGCTTGTAGAAGTCAGTAAATTGAAGGTGGTTTAAAGGAGGGATGTTAGAGATGGCTCTGATGAATCTGAAAAGTTATTTCAGTTCATTTAAAAAGCCTCTGAAATATAAATAACAATTCCAGTGTGAATGGGAGGCACTTACCCTGTCCAGTGTCTTTCTTTGTTTGCTAATAACTGTGAAAGTTCTCTCTCACCTATAGAGTCAGAGAAGTTTTGTCTGTAATGACACATACATGGACACTGTCTCGGCCAAAATGAAAGTTCCTTGACCGTGTCTTATTGTATTGATTCTACCCTCTAAATATTCTCTACTGGAGGATAAATTGACTATGGATATTTAACAAGATTTTAGGAGAAATCAATATGCATGTATTTACTGGCTGAGTTTAATTTTTAGAAGGGAAAAAAGCCTGCATTGTAAAGGCTAATAAAGCTTAGATTTATTTGTATGCGTCGAAGAACAGTTGGAAAGGAAGGGTTTTTTTAAGTTCAGTCAGCCAGAGAGATCACTGGAGGGAGCTCTAACTTCACAACAAAACCAGAACTGAACTCTTTCTGCTGTCCTCAAATTTTACCTATAGCCACAGGACACCCCCACCCTTAAAAATCAATGTGTTTTGGGAGCATCATATGCCACAGTTACTTACAAATAAAGACAGGACCACTATTCAAAACCAGCAATATTTAAACAAGTCAAAAATATGGGATTATATACAACAAGAGCCACATTATACACTTTCTATGAAAAAAAAAAAAAAACATTGAAAATATGCTTTATGACTGTCAGCCCCAGCTCCCCTTACAGCAGTGTAGACCCATGGTGAGCACCATTATCCAGGCCAGCCAGGCAGAAGCTGGCATTGGTGTTCACATAATTAGTGTGACAAGCTCTTTGGTGCTCTCTGGCGGGGGAGACTTTGTACGGAGGTGTGGATGATATCCTGAGTCCTATGCGTGGGACACTTAGCTTTTCAGAGGGTCAGCGGTGTCCTTGACAGCACCCTGGAATGGGAACCACAATGCCTAGACTCTTTCACTGCTGAACTCCTCACTATATATGAGCCTTTGGACTTTTTTATCTTTATGTTGCTGGTAAAACAGAAACACGATCTACATGGTTTCTAAAATTTCTGAAATTTAATTTTAATTTTAATTTAATCTAAGATTTCTAAAATTTCTAAAATCTTTTCTACTTTTTCAGCTTTGCTCATCAAGTTAAAATTGTTTGTTTGCTTTTTCAGTACTGACTACAGTATACATCCAGAGTGAGTGGTATTTAGAATTCGGGCCTGCTGTTTATTTAAGTGTGTATGTGTAACCAGTGGATGTTTCCTTTTGTTATCCAGGTGCTCAGGGATAAGAGAGCCATGTTTCCTTTGGGATATCCAATGCTGATATGTTTCTACTTTAATTCAGGCCTGCTATTTAGAAACCCCCAAGACACTGTGTCCAATTTAAGAAACAAAAACAAACAAACAAACAAAACCCTCACAAAACATTTTCTAAGATTCCTCCCTATAACACTTCTTTATCCTCCTCCCATTACTTACCTGGTCTTTTGAAACTTGGTTCCAGCTAAGGCAAATCTATAGTAACATTCTGAAAAACGTCTCTCTAGGAAGTTGAATATCTTCAGGATCTAGCCAGAATCCTGGTAGAAATTCCATGCTGACCCACGTAGGCCACGGAGCAGGGACTTCTGGCTGGGATTTGTGATGGTGTCATCTGAAGCCAGGTATACAATTTGTAGGTCCCAATGCAGAATGAAAATGCGGGGCCCTTGTCACTTTTCAGAGAGTGACGCAGAGCATTCAACCAAGCACAGGGCACTTCTGAGCATATGGGGCCATGTATGACTGCACATGTCCCATGACCCACGAAGCCAGTCCTGCTAGGAATGATGGGGACCCTGGTTTCAATCCGATAGACACACAGGACTGGATTTGACTCTAGAAGTTATTACCCACAGGAAAATACAAATAAAACATAATAAAATAAAAACTAAGCCACTCCTGCCAGAGTATTTTTTTAAAAGGTGAGAAATTGTTTTGACAAAGAAGCTGTGATTGTGTTTGGGCCAAGTCCTTAAGAGGATAATTAGTTAAATAGTTTTGGAAGGAGCACCATGGGAAGAGGAGGTGTTGAAATCATGTGATAATTTTGTTTATGCCAATTAAATTTTTCTATCTGAGATGTAGCGGTTTCTTCCAAATAGTTTCAAAAGATTGGAAAGCCAGCTGGAGATACACACAGGGGCACAAAGACTGACAAGAAATCTTTTGGTGGGCTGGCGAAGCATTGGGAAGAGGTGCTTTCAAAAGGTTGGAGGCATTTTGTTTACCTGTAATGCCCCACAGCCTTAAAATAATTAAAATAAAGTGTATGTGGTAGTTCAACTGTATAATTTCTTTGTGGGTTTTTTTTCCCCCCTAACACTGTATTTTGCACAATCCTATTATTCCAATGGGGAGAAAATTAGCTTGGCAATAAATACCCTGTATTGTAACCTTTGATGTAGTATTTTGTGGTTTCAAAACAACTTCAAAACTCTTTTTTCCCTTTCACAATAGCCATTATTCTGCAGTGACTGACTTTGTGAGTGTTCCTTAGCATTCATTTTGTTTGAGCCCAGACCTCCAAGTAAATATTGTAAGTAGCATCTTATGATTTGTATTGGTTGAGATCTGGAACAGTACAGTTTCACAGCTATGAAAATGTTTTCTGCTCTCAGCACAACTTGCTGGCACCTTGACTGCTTGAAGGAGGCACCGCCATCATGGCCTTTGATATGGTGTCTGAGAAGACTTTCCTCCAGCCAGTTATAAGCAGGGAAACTTTGAGTTAGTGCCTCTGCCTCTTCTCTCTCTTCCCTAGGTCCTGAGTCTCCTACTCCTTACCCTCTTCTCCAGACAGAAGCTTCTTATTTGGACTTTCAGGTTCTCCCTAA